GGACATCAGCCAGCCGGGCAGCAAGAGCCCCATCTCCCAGCTGGACTGCCTGGTAAGGGGATGGAGCATCCCTCATGAGCCAGTGTCCCACAGCGGGCTGCTTGTGGTACCCAACTGCATCCCCGCTGCTTTCCCACCCCTAATGTGGAGGATCATTCTCTGCCCCACTCCTAATGTCTCGTCCCCCTCCAGAACAGAGATAACTACATCCGCTCCTGCAAGCTGCTCCCCGACGGCCGCACGCTGATCGTGGGAGGGGAGGCCAGCACCCTCACCATCTGGGACCTGGCGTCCCCCACACCGCGCATCAAGGCCGAGCTCACCTCCTCTGCCCCCGCCTGCTATGCCTTGGCCATCAGCCCCGACGCCAAAGTCTGCTTCTCCTGCTGCAGCGACGGCAACATCGCCGTCTGGGACCTGCACAACCAGACGCTTGTCAGGTGAGCACGAGGGATGTGAGCACCAGGGCTTCCTCTGCTCCATCACTGGGGTCTTCCTGGCCATGGTTTGGTGTGAGGACCTGGGGGATGGTGACAAAAACCATGTTATTTAAGTCACAGGATCCCAGACTGGTTTGTGTCAGAAGGGACCTTAAAGCTTCTCCAGCTCCAACCCCTGCCCCGGGCAGGGACACCTTCCACTAGAGCAGGTTGCTCCAAGCCCCTGTGTCCAACCTGGCCTTGAACACTGCCAGGGATGGGGCAGCCACAGCTTCTCTGGGCACCCTGTGCCAGCGCCTCAGCACCCTTGTAGTAAAGAGTTTCTTCCTTACATCTGATCTAAATCTACCCTCTTAGTTTAAAGCTAAACTCATCGTCCTATCAACTACAGGCCCTGGTAAAAATCTCTCTTTCTTATAAGCCTACTTTAAGCACTGAAAGGCCACCATAAAGTCTCCCTGGAGCCTTCTCCAGGCTTCCATGTCGTGATGCTCTGTCTATAAGTGAGCGCAGTACGCTTCACCAGGCTGGTGCACCTCAGTGAGGGATGTTCCCTGGATAGATTTCCATGTGTCCTTGGTGTGGAGAAGCCTCACAAATGCAGCCTGAGCAACAAGCCCCTCGAAGCAACCTTTTTGCCAGTGTTCCCTTTGACAGTTTGCGTTGTTCTCTTGGTTGAAGGCAATTCCAAGGCCACACGGACGGTGCCAGCTGTATAGATATCTCCCATGACGGTACGAAGCTGTGGACGGGGGGGCTGGACAACACGGTGCGCTCCTGGGACCTGCGGGAAGGGCGGCAGCTCCAGCAGCACGACTTCACCTCCCAGGTACACAGAGGCTGCCTCAGCCCTAGGAGGGGGAGAACGTCCTGGTCTCATTGTGCAGCTCCTCATGGGGACCCCAGGGATGGGTTTATCCCCCCGTGGATGCCAGGGCAGCCCATTCGTGCGTGGCTGCGGGAAGGGGTTTTTACACCTGGGAAAATGGTCTTTCCAGGCTCCTGTTAGCTCTGTGCACGGTTGTCCCCGCTGCTTTAGGTGTAACCCAAGAGTGTTTGATGCGTAAGAGCTGTGGGGCTCCCTGGCTCTTGTTTCAGCTCCTCTTTCAGCACTTTCTCATCCACAGCAAGACCGCTGCCATTGGAAAGCAGTGCTTGCCGCCTACAGGCAGTACAGGCTGGCTCTGGTACCCTGCCCAGAGCCCCTGCCTCCTCCTGCAGACCCTCCCAAAGCTCTTGTCCAGAGAGGCACCTGAGCCAGTGTGATGGGCGTCTCTCCCTGATGGGAATTGCTGGGACGCTGAGGGGGATGCAGGCAGAGCTGGTGGGTACAACCCACCCTGATCCCCACTGTGTCCCCCCCCAGATCTTCTCCCTGGGGTACTGCCCGACGGGCGAGTGGCTGGCGGTGGGCATGGAGAGCAGCAACGTGGAAGTGCTGCACCACACGAAACCCGACAAGTACCAACTGCACCTCCACGAGAGCTGCGTCCTCTCCCTCAAGTTCGCCTACTGCGGTAAGAGGCTCCGCTCTCACTTGGCTCTAGTGGTCCTCTGGGGACTGCGGTGGGATGGGATGATGCATAGCATGGTGATGGGGGGCTGAACATGGAGGTGTCCAGCAGGAGCCATCCCGTGGATGGGGATGGTCCCAGCTGTGGCTAGATTACCACATTACATCATAGAATCCCAGACTGGTTTGGGTTGAAGGGATGTTAAAGCTCA